TAAATGGAATCCTACAGTATTTGCCCTTTTAATTGAGGAGTTTAATCCACTTACATTTAAATTAATTACTGATAAGAAAGGACTTGCTTCTCCCTTTTGTTGTTGAGTGTTTTTATCATACAAGAGTGTCAAATTTTGTTGAATTTTTTTAGTGTCGATTGAGATAATCGTGTTTTTTTTCCTTCATTATGTTAATGTGGTATATTTCATTGACTGATTTGCATATGTTTAATGATCATTGCATTCAAGGAATAAATCTCACTTGATCATGGTGTGTTACAATTTTAATTTGCTGCTGAATTTAGTTTGCTAGTATTTTGTTCAAGGTGTTTGCATCAGCGTTCATGAGTAAAAAAAAAAAAACTGTGGGAAAAACAAACGATTTTTACTCTGCTTTCACCTCACAACAATCAACACAGAAGACTTTTGTGCCCTAATGTGTGTGGATTTCTCCTCACCAATAAGCAAACTATCAATTCTGCAGCAGACACCAGCTGGGTATCTTCCAACTCAATTCTGAACTGTCTACCGGGAGATAGCATGAGATCCCACAGATTGGGGGTTCAATCCCACAAGACCTCCCCCACCTTGCCCCACTTCCAATGCCAATCGCAAGTCCCAGGTGATTTTATTAATACCTGTGCTTCTGACCAACTGGCTCTAAATCAGGGTTCTCATAACCCTCTCCTCACAGGTTTGATTAATTTGCTAGAGCAGCTCACAGAACTCAGGGAAATACTGACATTTACCAGTTTATCATAAAGGCTATTACAAAGGATACAGACGAAGAGATGCATAGGACAGGTATTGGGGTGGGAGCAAGGAGCTTCCATACCCTCTCTGGATGTGCCACCCTCCAGGAACCTCTACACGTTCAGCTATCCAGAAGCTCTCCAAACCCTGTCCTTTGGGTTTTTATGGAGGCTTCATTACATATGGCTGATTGATTAAACCATTGGCCATTGGTGATTAACTTAGTCTTCAGTCCCTTTCCGTTAGGATGTTGATAGTGATTGCACTGAATCTTTATGTCACTCTGGGGAGTACTTCCATCCTAGCAATATAAGTTTCCAATCCACAAACACAGGGTGTCTTGACATTTGTTTAGGCTTTAATTTCAGCAATGCCTTGTCATTTTCAGTGTGTAAATCTTCTATTTTCTTGGTTAAATTTATTCCTATTTTATTCTTTCCAATGCTATCGTAAATGGAATTGTTTGCATAATTTCCGTTTTAATTTGTTGATTGCTTGTGTCCAGAACTACAGCTTATTTTTGAGTGTGAGTATTATATTCCGCAATTCACTGCATTTGTTTTTTATCTTTAATAGTTTCTATGACATTCTTCAGACCTTTTTAATACAAGATCATGTATTCTGTAAATATAGTTTTACTTCTCCTTTTCCGGTTGGACACCTTTCATTTGTTTTTCTTGTCTGACTTCTCTGGGTAGAACTTCCAGTATAATGTTGATATAAAGTGGCAAAGGGGGCATCTTTGTCTTTTTCCTAATATTATTAGGAAATAATAGCGGAAAGTTTTCAGAACTTCACCAATGAGTATGATGTTAACTGGTTTCTTTTTTTCTTT